TCTTTTTTTTTTTTTCCTTTTTTTGTCCTTTTAAATCAAATATGTCGAATGTGAGGGGCCATTAGGTGGAGGCAACCCCGAAGGGAGATCGCGAAAGCCTAGTTAAATTTTAATTTTTACGTACTTTATAAAAACAACACTCATCAATATTTTTCCTCATCTTGAAAATTTCATTTTGAAATCAACTATAGAAATAACTCACAGTTTTAGTTATTTAATTTTTATGTGCTTTAAAAAAACCAACATTGACCAATACTTCTTCATATTAAAGATTTTATTTTGAAATCAACTTTATAAGTAACTTTAGATTTCAGTTAAGACTAAATTTGTACAACTAGTATTCAAAATTTAAGATTCAAACAAAATATAATATAACTTTTTATTACAAAAATATTCTTATACCTTTCATACCGTTTTCACTATTTTTTTTATAATAGCAAAAATTCAATTGTAGATCAAGTATTACTAAGCATAAAATTTAAGTGAAGCTTAATTGTTATTACCATATTTTAATTGTATTTTAAAAATTCTCTAATTATATAGGATCAAAGTTGACATAACATATATTAGTAACACATAAAAAATGTTACAATTTGGTTCTTAATTTCGATTCTTCTCTTTGGTACGGTATGAGACGGTTCGGTCGATTCTCGGTATGGTTATTTGTGAAATCTCTAGAACCGTACCAATTATTTTTTCAGTTCAATTCGATTCGGAGAAAGTCAAATTGTCAACGGTTATTTTTCGGTTTAGAGTGATTTCAGTTCGAGTTTCGAATGGTTCAAAATTTTTCGAGTCCCATTCTTAGCCCTAGTGGGCGTAGCGGGTCCACGAGCGTACTGGTTTCGCTTGCGGCGACATGCCCATTACCTACCTTCGCGCTCCGATGTACAAGGACCATCTCACGAGAGCGCTCTTTGCAAATGTTAGGTAGAGGATGATCGACCGAATCTCTATTGGTCGTATAGACATCTCTTTTTTGGGGTGGAATTGCTTTGATAAAAAAACACCCTCAGCGCCCTTCTGATTCATTTCCTTATGGTCCTTGACCCCC